GAAGACTTTATTTTTCTCTGATTAAAAAGCTTTTTCTTGGGGGTCCAGAGTGGCAGGGGCTTGTTTTTGTTTAGAAAACAAACGCTAGTTTTTGGTGAGCACCTTTAGAGACCTCACTGCATTTTCAGATCTAAGGAGATTAACAGCAAGTGGAATTTCGAATGATTAGTTCTGCTCTCGGTAAGCTTTGCCATTTCTCATAGCTATCTGACTTCTTTCACAGATCTCGACAACTTGAACAGTTTTATTTTATGTCAGTGAGAAAGCAGTTCTATGGCCAGGGAGCCCTTATCTGCTCACAGTGAATGGTGGGAAACCCCATGGAGAGACCCAGGGTTTACAAGAGTGAAGAAGAAAGCATGGCTAAATGTCATCTCATGGTAGAACTTTGCTCAGCCTAATTAGTCTGCCAATATGTGATTTATTTTACTCCACGGGTCATAAATATTCTGTACCCTCTGCTTCTCTTGACAACCAAAGGAAAAGGATTTACAAAATATTATCTGAACAAACAAAAACTTATTTGTGTAGCTTCATTTAATAAAGTCTCATTCCCTTCTTAAAGGGACAATGCAGCTACAAACTTTTTTCCCTTGTAGTATGATCATTTTCACACTTGTAAAATAATATTTAAAGGTTATATCTTCCTGTCATTTGTCATCTTAATGTCATTATTTTAATATATTTCAATCTTTTGCTGTAGTTTTTGCATCTATAATGAAGTAACAAAATGATCATTTATGAAACCCAATTATATTTAAATGTATTCAATATATTTAAATAAATATATTTAAATTATACTTAAATTAGTGAAGAAAGTCAGATTCTTTATAGAACCTACTCCTGTTGCCATGTGAAAGAAAAATTCATAATTATTTCTAATTTTCAGAATTGCTGTATGAGTTTCAAATCTTGCTGACCGAACATGACTATAAAATCCCATCATTTATGCCATTTGTCCTTAGAAAGATTTTAGTAGTCCTTAATAGAGATCTACTTTCATGAAGTGTTTGACTTGGACTCTCTAATGAAGTACAGGCAAAGAGCCCACCCCATACCCCAGCCTGTCATTCTGTGGTTTTGTTGTATGGGCACAGGCAGGCAAAGAAAACCTTCCATTAACTAAGTCCCTAATCTGAGGTATGACTATGACAGAATACACAGCCCTCATGTTTCAAGTGGTGGTTTGCTTTCAGTCCCTACCTTGAGTACTCAGAACTCCTGTTTGATAATAAACCAATCCATTATGGATGATTTAATGTATGCATCCTCTCATCAGCAAGTCAAATTACCAATCTGGGCTTTAACCTCCCCTGAATCTTTTTTCTTTCCCTCTAAATTGGTCTCAATTTTAGAGTTTTTTGTACTCCACATAATAATCTTTATGTTCATGCAATATTAATAAACCTCATAAGAAGGGTTTTCATGCCCAAACCTTCAGAGTTAGAACTGAAAAAGACACAGATGTGTTCTTGCACATAAACTTTGGAAAACTTGCACCGGTTGGTTTACTCTCATGCCACCCCCACCATAACTTTGAGGCTTCTCGGCCTCCCCTTGCCCACTTGACCTTTTTGCGTCTGCAGCTGAGGGCTGGAAGACCAGATCAGACATCATTTTATTCTCCTTGTCACTGTCCTCCACCAACCCCTCTGCTGTGAAACTCAGTCAGTAAATGGGCAGGACTTGGCCCTGAGAACAGAAAAATGAGAGGAAATGTGGGGAAATATCAGTTCTGGGTTGATTATAATTAAATAAATAGGTTTTCTTTTGGCAAGAGGTGGGGGGCATTCAAAGCCCCTCCTAATCCCTGTGAAACGTTAGCTGGGGATTCTTACAGCAATCTAAGCCAGAAAGAACTTTTGGTTGAAATACTCAGAAAGTTCAAGTAAAGTGTAGAGTAGCTTTTTTTTCTTGGTTTTGGTGGGGGAGGCATGTTGTTTTACTTGTTTAATCTAAGTATAATGTTACTGTTCCTTGAATCGATATGTTCAGATACTTCAATAGTTCTTTTGTTTATTCATTGTAACCTAAAAAAAATAAAATGTGATCTCCACATTTCTGATTTTTGAAGAATATTTTTATAACTAAAATTGTGAGCTTTTTCTACTTCTTTTCTTGATTAAGTGTATCAAGGCAGACAATTTTATATAGGCATTGCCAGCCATGTGATCTTAAAACGATGGTATAGCTGCATCTTTACATCATAGAAATGTGGAAGGATATCATATACCCAAATTTTCCACAGCCGTTCAAGGACCTACAGCAATCTCTCATATATATAGTCATGTGCAGCCTATTCTCTGTATAGATTACCTGTGTAAATATTAATATTGAATGTTTATAAGTATATATCACTATGACTATTTTCCAGTAAACATAGAATATATTGCCATTAAACATACAAAGACGAAGAATACATTTTTCTGCATTATCCCTCATCTGCAGGTAATGTCCCCTTTTGTGCAGATAATTGATACATTGTGGTTTTTATTTTACAGATCCCTTATTTCTTTTTTTCTCTTTTTTTCTTTTTCAATTACAGTTGACATTCAGTGTTATATTAACTCCAGGCATACAGCATGGTGCTTAGACACTTACATGTAACTTACAAAGTGATCCCCTGATAAGCCTAGTACCGCCTGGCATCATACAGTTTTGTCTGTACTGTCTCTCAACCTTTCTAACTCCTTTGTTTCTGTAAAATTGCATGGAAGTGTTATTATTTAGAAGCTGAGACCAACTCCGACTTTGGAGTCAGTTGGATTTTAGTTAGCAGTGGAATCGGGCCCAGAGGCAGATGAACTCATCTCAAATTGCATCACTCCCATGTCTTACTGTGAAGGTCACTGCAAAGGTTATTAGTTCCTGCATGAGTCTCTCTCATGACCCCATGTCATTCTCCAATAAAGAGGATAATCAAACACCAACAGCTCAATGGCATCACATAGAACATTAACTGCTTCACCACAATGTTGATAGTTCAAGGGACTAAACATTTTTAAGTATATTTTATTTATGATGCTATTACAGTTGTCCCACTTTTTTCTCCCATTACCTTCCTCCGTCTGGCTCCTCCTTTCCTCCAGAAGTCCCCACTTTAGTTCATGATAAGCCCTAAAGAGCAATTATTTTTGATAAAGCTTTAATATCTACAGAATAGCATGACCAGTTCACTTTGGTTTTAATTCTTGTATTAATTAATAACTAAATTGATAGAATATGATGAATCCTATTTTATTTTCATTTATTTTTATTGAGTTTACTGGGTTGACATAGGTTAATAAAATGATATAGGTTTCAGAAGTGTGATTCTATAATCCATTATCTGTATATTGTATTGTGTGTTCACCACTCAAAGTCAAGCCTCCTTCCATCACCAGTCATTCCCCCTTTACCGTCTTCTAACTCCCCCCACTCCAAGGAAATCTTACCTTTCCTGACAGCATGGATGGACCTGGAGGGTCCTTAGCCTTTTACTTAGGCTAAGTAAAATATTCCAGGTAGAGAAAGACAAATGCCATATAATTTCATTTATATGTAGAATTGAATGAAGAAACTAAACAAACAAAGTAGCAACAGTCTCAGAGGTGTACAAAGCAGAATGACAGCTGTTGGGGGGGGTTGGGTTGCGCTGGGAGAAAAAGGTGAAGGGATATTTATATTTATATATTTATAAAATGACTTTTAAACCCTGTATTCCTTGTTATGCTGACCTTGAGCAAAACAATTATTTCTTAAAGAAGGTAGAATTTCAATTTATTAGCATTTTAACTACCTAACTCCTACTTTGAGTTCTTCCTTTCATAATCTGCGTGAACAGATCCATTTATACAAGCACACTAACCTCTCCATTGCAACTGTATTCATTTTCTTGTGCTGATATTACTTATATATGCATCGACTCCAGTTCACTAACAGGCTGGGTTGGGGGTTCCTGAAAAAGCACACCGATTCTTAGCTCATTGGAAAGAGTTGAATTCAAACCTTGGTTTTCCATTTTATCCTTACAGCTTCTAATCAGTCAGATACTGGAATTTTATTGAATGTATATAGTCTTCAGTCATGGCTCATGTGAAAAGATAGCCTTACAAATACAACTCTGGTTACCTATAGTTTTGTATTTTATTTTATGATTGATTATGTCTTCTTAGTGAACTGAAAATTTGCCTTGGAGTTATTATGTAAACCAAGAATAGCTTCCATTTTCTTGCTAGTGAAGGCTTTGTCGTTTCCACTAGTTAATTTTTCTCTGTTTAGCAAAAGCAGTAAAGATGAGGCAACTATGGAGTTTTGTTAGCTTCATCAGAAGAATTTGTAAAGAAATAGTATCTTGAACTCTACAATTGTAAATTCTCTGCCAAATTAAAGAGGTTGACATATCTTAGGACATATCTCTAATAATGTTTATATCCCTGTACTTTTTTCAGATTATTTCTCCCTCTTTGTGTTATGTAGAATCCAGGTCTGGTCCTGTGTATAATTGAGAAGAAATTCAGAGAGAAAGTACAAAAGATGATACCCTTCAAACTAGCATTAAAAATAATGTGGTTTGATTTGAGATTATCAAATAAATGGTTTACTCTGCTGCTGAGCCAACTTTGTGACAGATTTTGGACATGACTAAAATGCCTCACACCAAAGGCTCAAGTGCTAAGTATTAAACTTGTTTTGGAGTAGACAGTAAAGATGTTTTCTTTCAATCACTCCTATTTCTTGAATATTAAAAAAATGAAGGATTTTTCTATTTTGTGACTATAAGTGTTGTACAAGAAACTATCAATTTTCATATTTGAAATTTTCTGCATTAAGTTAGAAAACTAAAATAGGGGTAAAGAAGAAGACTGTTCACAAATCACTCTTCTTATACATATTTCCTATTCTTTTCAGGTACTTATGGAAAGATTTATAGTGAATTTTTTTTACTTAACTTTGCAGTAGGTTTATTTGTTTACTTACTAAAATGCATTAATCATAGGCATATATATTTTTTCTTCTAGCAATGGTTGTTTTGAGCAACCTGGAACCAAATACAACTTATGAAATCCGGGTTGCAGCTGTGAATGGGAAAGGACAAGGAGATTACAGTAAAATAGAAGTCTTCCAAACACTACCAGTCCGTAAGTACTCCTCTCTGTCATGTTCACTGTGGCCATTCTCTTCACTTTCAAAGCTAAATGGGATTTCAAAATGCAGGGAGATGTTTCAACACTTTGGGGAAGTGAATTATGTTTCTGAAGTGGTTTCTGAATTTGGTGGCGTCTAGACTTATACAGATAACTTTGCTCTGGAGCAAGACAAAACAGAAAAGCTGTTCTGCAGTATAGAGAGTAAAATTGCTCTCAGGAACTTGTTGGGATCAGGTGTCCTGCTTATTCATGGTCTGATGAATTGGATTGCAGTACTCAGATTATATTCTGTGAGGGAGGAGAAGAGTGAGTGGAACATGTCCAGAATTCGGTTCTTTTGCTGAGGTATGGTTATTGCCTTTGTCCCATGCATTGTCATTGGGTCCTAAGTGGGGGGGGAAATACAGCATTAAATAAACCCATTACACTGGTAACTGCAGAATAAGAGTAGCTGTTGTAGCCTTGTTCTCATTACTGTCCTGTTTGGGGGTGTTATAAGTCCATTGAGTTTATACAAAGTTATGATATATTTAAAATGACTTATATTTCTTCTATTTTAAAATGTGAAAAAAATTGAGTGTGACTAAAGAAGGGCTGTTATAAAAGCTATGTATATCCCTCTCTACTTTATACATATATATTAAGAGAGTCAAATTTGCCACATAAATATATTATCCCAATTCATGACCATTTTTTTTCTGTTTGACTGAAAATTGGTTAGATGTGTTCACTTTTCTCCATTCTCAAAGCCAGTGTCTTTTTTAGTTTCTCATTACTTTTTCACCAGCCAGGCTACAAACACATCTTGATTCATAATCCTATTGTTGCAGACCCTATCCAGCAGAGTCTGCCTGTTGTGGTTGACGACGAGAATCATTCACAGGTGACAACAATCCTGTGTGGAAAAAGGGAACAGGCACGACTACTCTCTCAAGGGGAGAGTGCCTATGGTGCCCCGGCCACTCCCTCAAGAGGGGAGCGCCATGACCCTTGCCTAGACAGGATTTTATTGTTTTCCTGGGGTCTTACATCAGAGAAAGATTTATCATCTATCACATAGAACATTACTGTCTACATTCTAGGTACAATCAAGGAAATAAAAATAACATGCAGAGGGGGATGGCAATGAGCTCATTAGCTCTGTCCTTGGGGGAGCTCACACAGGCTTTGGAAGTTACCTTGAGGATAAACAATGTACATTTGTTGCTTTAGACCAGGGTGAGGGAGTTTTAGCAAGAGCAAGCCATAACAGTCTGTGAGTATTTTCTAGGCCTGATTCCCATGGGAAAACTCGGTTTGAAGGTCTGGCTCCTGCCCACCACTTCCCATCTGTAGGTTTTCCATACAGAGCTGAGTCACATTTGCCAGGCCAGGACAAACTGGTCCCCTACATCCTATCTGCAGATCAAAATGAGTCTAGAGTGACCTTGCAAAAATTTAAAGAAACCTGTCTCTTTTCTACCTCTAACCCTCAACAACCTCACCCTTTACCTTCCACTGTATATCCACACATACCTTTGCCTGCCCGCCATGCTCACACCCCCCTCTCCACAGTCACAGTGCTTTCTGCATCAGCAGACTGAACTGAAGATTTCATTTTGTCTTGATTTCTCACCTTTTTATAATTTCCGGGATCACTGCACATTGGTGTCCGATGAAATCATGATGACTTTCCCAAGACCTTGGCTAACCGCTTCAATATTCATTTTCTTCTTCATTTAGGCACACCTTTATTCTTCATCGAACACCTCTGTGGATGTTTCAACCGTAAATCATCTCCCTTTTTTCCTGTTTCCCTTTTAAATGACAGCACCTCCAGTCCCTTAGTGTACTTTCGTTAACTTGCAAACCTCTGTCCTAGACAGTGAGCGCTTTGAGGATATGGCATTGGGTGTTTCTTAATACTAAATATGTTTTATTTTGCAGTTTGAATGAGACAATATATATAAAGCACTTACTGTGTCATAACCACATGTTTTTAGCCTTTCATTATTTTTGCATGAATGTAGTAATTGCTAATAGAAACCATTATTTCAGTCAATTTCTCCTGATACAATTATACTTGTTTTGAAATTTATTTTTTCCTAAATGAAGTTGCAATTGTAATGGAATCACAAAGTTGATAGAAATGTTTAAAGTATATATTTTAAAACATCTGTCACTAAAAATGCATATCTTGCTTTATAATTATTACCTCAAAATGCCATCAATTCCTATATTAAAAATATTATAATAATATCAAATAACCTTATGCTGTACAACATGTAAATTCCAAAATTCAATTTAGAAATGACACTAAATCGCCTGAGTATAAATTTTGATTTCTCCATAATCTCTTACTAAATCTTTATTAAAAATGATTGCACTGGTTTTTACATTGCTATTTATCAAAAATACCTTGTATTTTATAGGTCATGCCATTCCATGATATCTGCATGCTAATTGAATTAGCTTTCATGAACAATCACTCTACAGTTCTTCTCGTTCACTTAGTTCCTATGTGGCTGTACCACATGATGCTATTTTATTATTTACTTTCCTGCCCACACACCCAATTGTCCTATTTTCTTAAATACTTGCCTTCTCACACATAAACCACACACTTGCTTAAAGTTATAAGCACCATGTTAGATATACAGATAACTTACTAGAAAAAGAAAAAAAAACAAGTCCCCCACGTTTGGGGGCATGCGGTCCTCTTCACTCCATTCTGTGGAGTGTGTCTGTGTTGGCATCCCTCTCAGGAGGCCACATCCTCCAGGTTGTCAGATCCCTGCAGAATAAAGCATGTCCTCCACTACTTGTTAGCATTACACACGCATCTCCATACCCACTGCCATCGGGAGCGGGAGGAGATAGAGGAAGAGGAGCCAGCGCGTGCCCAAGCATGTCCTGTTGGTGACACACAGCAGAGGGCCCTCATTTCTCTTTCCAAGCAGTATGGGTGCTCTTCACATAAAGAAAAAAAAATCTTACACTTTAGTGGGCCCCTGTTCATATTCAAAATATTAGAAGCATCTGTGTTATAAATCATCTTCATGTGAAAAATAGTGTCATAGACAAGTGTGTTCATGATACTAGGAGAAAAATACATTGAAATGATAGGCTTATAGACTGGATAAAACAAAATTTCTTTATTCACAACCGTCTGTAGTTTAAAATGCTTATAGAAGCAGGTAACTGATTGCTAAACTGCTATCTTTCCTGATAGAGAAATGCAGTATCCAGTGTAATGCCTTCATATGTTTATATTAATAACTATTAGTACAATTTTTATAAACTAAATCCACATGAATAAAATAAATAAGATTACACAGTTAATAAATTATATTTTGCACTTGTGTATAGTAGTACTATCCTCAGATAATTTTGACATCAATGTACACAATATATTTGGTCCTGAGGTTTCACAGTTGTGGCATTACTAGATTTATGAATGCTGCAGTTTTTTTGGTGAGAAGAAAGAGGATCAGTCATATCACAAAAAAGGGCAAATAGCAAGTATATCATATATTTTGACTATGGGAGTGTTATTTTTATAAAATGCAGTTTCTCTTGGTACCTGAGGAGTATGCCAATATCAACATTGCTGTATTGCATATTTAGGTGAACCCAGTCCTCCGTCCATACACGGGCAGCCAAGCAGTGGGAAGAGCTTTAAACTCAGTATCACCAAACAGGATGATGGAGGGGCCCCTATTCTGGAATACATTGTGAAGTACAGAAGTGTGAGTACCCCATTTCTTGTCGTTTTATACAAAGTGTTTTCAAATTGCATTAAATTTACATTGAGTTCATGGACATAGCAGGAGCAAATGCATATATTAAAGAGCAGTCATAAAATGCTATTCACAGGAATTCAAATGATAATTTTGTGTTGCTGAAATTTATAATTGTGGATTATAAAATACTGGCTCTTTTGGTAAAATCTAAGCATAAGTCATCAAAGGAAACCCATGGCATTCATCTTGTGCTTTCTACATATTTCTGAAATGAGACACCATTTTCCCTATTTTCTGACATGTTAGCAGACTATGTCCACCCTTCACTCCAGTTGATGTTAGTAAGTTTAGACTAAGCCCTCTTCTCAATTCTGGTTATTGTAGGTAAGATTATTAGTAAATCACACCTTAAATAAATCACGATGCAACAAAGCATGGCCCCATTGAACTTGAGGAAGCAGAAGTATTTTTTAAAGTCTAATTACCACAAGCAAATATGAGACTTTGGGCAGCTAAAATGATAAGTCAAAGAAGCCCATTAGAGAAAGACAAATACCTATGATTTTGACTCATATGTAGAATCTAGTGAACAAACTGAACTAACAAGCAAAACAGAGACAGATTCATAGACAGAGAGCAGGCTGGCATCTGTCATGGGGTGAGGGATTGAATAAAAAGGAAAAAAACTCATGGACATCAGTGTGGTAATTTCCGGTGGGGGGGAGTAGAGGGAGGTGGAGGAGGCTATAGGGGGCATAGACGGTGATGGAAGGAGACTTGACTTCCTTCGGGTGGTGAGCATGCACCATGGTGTGCAGATGGTGTGTTGTGGAACTGTGCACCTGGATGATATTGTTAACCAGAGACACCCTAATAAATTTAATAAAGAGGAAAAAAGCCTTGGGAATCCTTATGTGTATGGGGTGAAGATGAACGCTGATGGCCAAGTGATGAAGTGGCCGGATGGACTTTGCCTCTTGCGTTTGGATGAAAATGATTTCAAAGGTCACTGAAAGTGACTTCTCCCAACAACCTTGCCATAAATACCAGTGTGTTTGTGTGCACTGTGGAATACTTAAAAAATAGAAGATTGAAATTTAGTTTTATAAGATTTATTTACTAATATGATTATCCTTATAATTTATAATTATTCTTATAATATAGTGCCAATTTTATATACATGTTGACTGAACCTTTACTGACACTTTCCCACTGTATTACATTTTAGCAGATGACACTTAAATAATTGTTTCTTAATAATATGTAGATAAATTTTAAATATGTCCTGCAAATTCACAATTTTCTAATTGATAATATTGCTATATCTAAATTCAAATATTCAAGTTTTGAGGGGTAATAAAAACAAGAACTTGATTTTGAATAGCATACTGATTTGATTTGATTTGATCTGTATTATATTTTATTGGTTATACTTTTACAGTTGTCCCACTATTTTCCCCTTTGCCCCTATCCAGCCAGCAGCCCCACTCCCTTAGACAGTCCCCCCTTTGTTCATGTCCATGGGTCATACATGTAAGTTTTTTGGCAACTCCATTTCCTATACTGACTGTTCTTAACCTCCCTCTGTCTTTTTGTACTTAACAATTTAGGCTTCATAATCCCTTCACCTTTTCTCCCATTATTCCAGACCACCCTCCCAACTGGACACCATCCCAATGTTCTCCCTATCTGGGATTCTGTATCTGCTCTTCTTGTTTACTTAGTTTGTTTTTTAGTTTCAATTGTTGATACTTCTGTATTTATTGTCATTTCAATGCCCATAATTTTGATCTTCTTTTTCTTAAATGAGTTCCTTTACTATTTCATATAATAATGGTGATGATAGACCCCTTTAGCTTTTACCCTGTCTGGGAAGCACTGTAACTGCCCTTCAATTCTAAGTGATAGTTTTGCTGGATAGAGTAATCTCTCAATAATTAATTTTAGACATCGGTTTTGTCTTTTAAATTTAAAACTAATACCATTTTCCAGGACCCCTCTTTGTCTCAGAGTTCATGCCGGCAATAATGAAGAGTTATGTGTGTCTTTTGGGTTTTCCAGTAAGGAGGCTAGATGACTCTACCCTCAACCCCCCTGAAAGGCGTTCTGGTTTCTGTGTGAGTCTGACAGTATGCTACTCCGGACAAGTGTTCTGGCCACTCCTACTTGCACATGGAAATTCTTTGGAGGGAGAACATTTTATCTAAGGATCAAAGGCCTGAACCAAATTCATTAATTGAACTGGGAGAACACATTTTCCCTTCCATGCCTATAGTTACACGCTGGAGAATTGATGGTTCAGAATACAGGAGGATGGTAAGATTTGTAGGGAACCCCAATAAAATCCCATAGTAAACAATGAAATGCAATGACTAGTAAAAATATTTAATATATTCTCTATATGTGTAATTTCTACCTAAAGCTAAAAGTTACGGTTGAATTCTTCTTTTGTAAGTGTTAGCAGTATGGTGATTGCTGAGAGTGGGGGCATATAAAGGGACAAAAATAAAGATAAAGATTTAATTTAAGAAATTTAAAAAGTTAATGTTCAAAATAACAGAAATATTATATTGAGTTCAACCAAAGTCATTAATTGATGATAGCAAGGATATATTATGCCTCATTTTATTTTTTCCATCACTTTTAATAGTGGCTTTTGTTGATAAAGTTTGTACATATATTTTAGGAATGCTGGGATATTTTTCAGTTACGTGTTCATTTCCAAACATACAAAAGTAAAGTTCAGAAACTAACAAGAATGTGACTACCCAGCAGGCACCATTCCTCAAAATATTTAACAAAACTGAAGTGATAACATTATAAATTTCTTCAAACATAAATTAATATCTCACTAGCAGAAAGCAATCAGTAGTTTTTAAGCAGATTTTATTCCTAAAATCAATATAAACTGTCCATCTGTTAGGAAGCAGTTTTGTACTTTCATACTTTACGTGACTTGTGGGTGTTGAACAGAGAATTTTTTTATTCACATAAAACAAATATGTGTTTTAAACAATCCAGGGCTAGGAAAACATTGTAGCAATATTATCAAGAATCACATTGTTTTTTCTTTATGTCCTTTCATTCTTAGACTGTTGTCTTTGGTTCTCATCTAGATTATCTTGTGTTTCTAAGATCTACATTCAGAATGTAAGGGGAATGGAAAGAACAGAAGGGACAAGAGTTTGTTGAAACTTGACTTTGCCCTTTCTTTTCCAACAGTATGGTACAGGTTTTATAAAAACCTTACCACCTAGAATTAAATTATGTCTCACTGAATAGAATTATGACCACCACTAATGAAAGATGGTTATATTTTGGGAGTTGGCTCAGCTGCATAAAGGAGTATACCACAATTGTTAATGTAATTATCTTTATTATCTTAATGACTGACTTAGTCTGCTAGGCCTTCCATGGCAAAATTCCTAGACGAAGTGGCTTCAACAACAGAAATCAATCTTTTCACGGCTCTGAGGGATTGAAATTCCAGGATCAAAGTGTCAGTGGGTTTGGTGTATCACAATGAAAATGATTGGTTGCATAATTCAGACATGGCTATAATTGACTGATAATCAATTCCTATGTTACTACTTCCAGAGCTATTAGGATTTTAATAGGACACACTTTTTACATTATTTTTTAAATAAACTGTTTTAGAAGTTTTAAAAATTAATGTAATTTAAAATTACAGTCTATATACAATATTATATGTCTTGGCTATAAAATAGAGTAATTTCACATGTATATACCTTACAAATTGAAAATGGATTAGAGATTTAAAGATAACACCTGCAACCATAGAAATCTTTAAAGAAAACACAGGCAATAAACTTTCTGACATCACTCTCAGCAAATTTTGGAGGGTATGACTTTTCAGACAAGGGGAACAAAAGACAAAAATAAACAAATGGAACTCATTAAACTACAAAGCTTGTCACAGCAAAGGAAACCATCAACAAAAAGGACAACTTCCTGAATAGGAAATATTTACCAATATTCATCCAGTAAGGGATTAATATCCAAAATATACAAGGAACTCATACAAGTTAACACCCAAAAAACAACCTGATGGAAAAATTGGCAAAGGACCTGAATAGACAGTTCTCCAGAGGAGATACAAGTATAAATGGCCAATATATATGAAAAGAGATACCGCCTCATACCTGTCAAAATAGCTATCATCAATAAAAGAAGGAACAAGTGTTGACCGGGACGTGGGGAAGAGGAAACCCTGATGCACTGTTGGCAGGACTGTGAAGTGCTACAACCTCTATGAGAAACAGTACGGAGGGTCATCAGAAAGTTAAAAATAGGGCTGCCATATGACCCAGTGAATCCACTTCGGGGCATTTATCTGAAGAAATCCAAAATACTAATTCAGAAAGATACATGCACCCAAATAGTCATTGCAGCAGGATTTACAATAGCCAGCTATGGAAGCAGCACGAGTGCCCATCAATATATAATTGGATTAAAAAAAAACCTGTGGTGTATCTAGCCAAGTAATATAAAAATAGAGACATTTATCAAAGAAGATACAAGAAACATTATACATAGGACAATGGCACCTCAATCCCCTTCACAATATGCACCTTAGGACCTCACACAGTTCTCCCAATTGCTATCAGCTGCCCTGTGGTATTTTCCTGAATCTCACCAATGGTCTGAAATCTCTTCCCTTTAAAGGTGCTTTTAGTTTTGGAAAAAAAAAAAAAACAGAATTCACAGGGTGCCAAATCGTGGCTGTACATGTGCAGAGTCACCTGAGTGATTTGATGTTTCACCAGAAAACTCTGCGTGAGATGTGATGCATGAGTTGGCACATGGTAATGATGAAGCTGCCAATCACCAACTGCCCATAACTGTGGCCTTCTGAATCATCCAAATAGTTTCTGCAGAGGAATGTTCAAGCTTAATGCAAAATTTGATGCAGATTTGTTGCTCTGTTCTCAGTCATTTTGAATATGAAGGCAACATAGTACACATGCTCCCTCAACAATGTCAAC